ATATAAGATGCTGCATGATATCTATTGTCCCAGGATTATGCATAACCAAAAAATCAGCTGATTTTGCGTTGGGTAGCAGTTTACGTCAAACTTGTAACAATTAGATGATGAGCCGAGCCGGTGATGATGCGGTCGTCACCGCTAACTGTCTTTGTGTTGACAGTGAGACACACAGCGACACACACACACACACACGTACGTCCCGATAGCGGGTAGGTGCAAAGACAGAGGACGCTCAATGAAATCAATAGTTCGAATTCTCTTTAGTAAGAAAAAAATTCGGTGCTTAGGTTTGCTACTTCTCCTTTTTTAGTAGTTGTTTCTTGTGTAATTTTGTTTAAAACGCAATTTTTAAACTAGACAATCACCAGCCACATAGAAAACTAACTATAACTTTGGTTCAACGATAGCCTTTGATGTTTTAAGCATTCGATCAACTTGACTATTTGCACTCTGTTTGCATTCTTTTACCGCTATCGTGTTGATGGCACACCTAAAAATATGTATCATGAACATAAACTGCCGAGGATCTCTCTTTTTCCGCGCTTCTCCGATCCTCTGCTTCCTTCAAATTTTACGTCGAACACCCAACTACTTTTCTCATCCCTTTTAGATACATAATTTCTATTATATCTCTCAGTTTCCAAAAGATTACCCGTATGTTCCCATAAATGGATCAGGCTAATTTTACAAAATTCTCTTATTACCCAAAAAAACATCAGCCAATTGAGCTTAACATAAGATAAGATTTATCAAAAAGAAGGGAGAATTTCCAAATTAGTGTAAATGCTATGAATTAGATGACAGTAGAGGTTCTGGTGTGCGACTTAATCATTAACACTCATTTTAATTTCTTCCTTTTCACTACCTAGCAATATCTGCGTAATTAGGAAATTAAAATTAAAACTTGAAGTTTGTGGAATTCATTTTCATAGAGTAATTACCGTATGATCAAATGTTTAAAGATCTATACTTAACATAAAACTAGAATATTTGGACATAAACAATTGGATAAAGTTCTCATTACACTTTATTTCTGCCCAAAAATCACATTTTTGAACATCTATAAATATAGCTTAAATTGTTCTCTTTGTTAGTTCAATTATTCCACTGCCATAATCCAACAATAAATCTTTTCAGTATCCCAATAATTGCAATTATAAAAATCTTTAAGAAGGAAGAATTTTGGCCCAAGTAGTATAGTGGTTAGTACTCCACGTTGTGGCCGTGGCGACACAGGTTCGATTCCTG